ATCCTCCTGGCAAGTATTCTGAAATAAACCCTGTCTCAGTCTTTCTGACTGACCCAATTGACTATACCATCCTAGCCAACCAAACTAATCTAAAATATACTATACTAAAACACACTAGAGATTGATTTGTAATGGAATAAGGCAGGTCTAAAGTAGAGTTTTAGTAGTTTGGTACATGAGAGAAAAGTCACAGAATCCTAAAGTAAGTGTGTATAATGGGGCAAGGGGCAGGGTATATCAATTTGGGTAAATCAGGCAGGATTTGGGGTTGTATACTTGTGCAATTAGTGCAGAGATATAAGCAGTTAGGTTCTGTGAATAAACCTAGCTTTGGGTTGCAATATTGGTTCTGGGCATATCTACCTGCTCTGACTTTTCTCTAATGATGTATTACCCTTTTCCATATATATTCTTTGATCCAAAGTGTTGAACTTCATGCTTGGAACACTGATTTCCCATGTAGAAATTACACCTGAAGGCCCAGAATTACCTGTGGCCCATGGTGTAACTCTGGGCCCATGAGAGCCTTTCTTGGTACTGTAGCTTAGTAAATAATACTTGTGTATTACACCTGGAGTGTACAAAGTCCCCATCATATACCCAGTACATTCTCCAGCCTCCTTCTTACTGTTTGCAAGCTTGAGCCCACTTGTTTACATGCTCAGCCATGCTCAGCAATGCTCAGCAGCTTCAGCCATGCCTTGGCAAACATTACCTGAAGATCTAGATCACCACAAACCTTCCAGACCTTCTAAGAGCGCTTACATGATGATTTACCCCTTTAAATCATTCCCACACGCGTCTGTGATCATTCTGATTACTCTATGTCCAATTCCCCACGTTGTAACTTAGCCAAATCAGATGTGAACTGTCTAATGACATCCCAGCATGATCTCACATGATTTATAGATCATACAGCGTGGTTTAAGCCTGAATCTCAACACTCCCACTCAGTGAATCATCTGATTTCCGACAGAGACCCATTTTGCCACAAAGTTTAAGGTGCTTTGTCTTGGGTAAAGCCTTGGTGAGAATGTCAGCTGTCATTTCTTCTGTCTGACAGTACTTGAGGCTGATGTTCTTGTCTTCTACTGCTTGTCTGATGAAGTGGTGCCGCACATCAATGTGTTTGGTCCTTGCATGATGTGTTGGGTTGTTGGCAAGTGCTATGGCGCCCTGATTGTCACCATACAATGTTGTAGGACCACTTTGCTGATGTCCTAGTTCGCCTAGAAGTGTTCTGAACCAGATAACTTCCTTGGTAGCTTGACAAAGAGCCATGTACTCTGACTCTGTTGATGATAGAGCGACTGTAGGTTGCCTCTTGCTTTGCCAGCTGACTGTGCTGCTGCCAATCTTGACTAAGAAGCCAGTGGTAGACTTCCTGAAGTCCAAATCACCGCCCCAATCTGCATCAGAGTATGCAGATAGCTCCCACTTGCTCTGAATGCTGCCCAGTTGAAGTCCTAGGTCTGTGGTGCCCTTCAGGTACCGCATGATCCGTTTGACTGCTATCCAGTGCTGATGTCCGGGGTTGGAAAGGTACTGGCTAACTGATCCAACTGCCGCTGCTATGTCTGGTCTGGTGCCCAGCATTGCATAAATGAGACTTCCAACAGCACTTCTGAAAGGAACCCCGTTCATTTCTTGCTGTTCTGCCTCAGTTTGTGGTGACATGGCCTTGGTGAGCTTGTGGCCATTCTCTAGTGGTGTGGCAACTGGTTTGCTGTTACTCATATTGAATTTCTTCAATGTTTGACTGAGGTACCGCTGTTGGGAGAGCCAGATTGACCTGTTGACTCTGTCCCTGACCACTTGGATGCCGAGAAAATGCTCTAACTGGCCCATATCAGCCATCTTGAACCGCTTCTTGAGTTCTTCTTTGAGTTTTAACAACTCCTGGTCGTCCTTTGATGCCAGAATAAGGTCATCCACATACAGGACAAGGTGGATGCCCATCTTCTTGTTGATGTACAGCCCGTGGTCTGATTCACACCTTTCAAAGCCAAGTTCTTTGAGTTGCCCGTCAATGACTTTGTTCCAGGCTCTTGGAGCTTGCTTTAACCCATACAAACTCTTCTTTAGCTTGCAGACAAGCCCATTTGCCGTGGCAAAGCCTTCTGGTTGGTCCATGTAGATGTCCTCCTCAATGGTCCCATTCAAGAATGCTGTCTTGACATCCATTTGGTGAATCTCCATGTCCTTCATGGCTGCTAGTGTCAGGACTGTCCTGATGGTTGCAAACTTGACTACTGGGGCAAATGTCTCCTTGTAGTCCAGTCCTTCAACTTGGGAGTATCCTTTGGCTACCAGTCTGGCCTTGTAGCGCTCTACAGAGCCATCTGACTTGAGTTTCAGCTTGAAAACCCACTTGCAGCCAACTGTGGATCTTCCTGGTGGTAGTTTGACTAAGTCCCATGTCTGATTCTCCATCAGAGAGTCATATTTTGCTTTGACAGCCACCTCCCACTGTTTGGCATCATATCTGGTCCTAGCTTCAGTCAGAGTGCTGGGTTCTTCCTGTGGAACTTCCCCAATGGTGAAGGCAAATGCCAGATTTGACTGAGTTGGCTTTGCAATCCACCACTCTCCCAGTGGTTTGTGAAATCTGGCACTCTTCCTGCTGAGTTCTGGCACTTCCTCAGCATCCTGGAAGTCGTCCCCATCATCTTCTGATGCTGAAGAGTTGTCTGGAGTGATGCTAGATGGTCTCTGAGTCTCTTGAACCGTCCCTAGCCCTTCTTGGTCATCCAAGAACGAAGGCTCCCCTCCCAGAGGCATCTGTAGCTCTTGGTCTTGCTGTGGTACACTCTGCAGTCGCTGCTGAGTGCTCCACATCAAGTTTTCATCAAAGATGACGTCCCTTGACATGACAACTTGGTTCATTTCAGGTACCCACAGTCTGTAGGCCTTACTCTGAGTGCTGTAGCCGACCATGACTGCCTTCTTGGCCTTCTCATCAAGTTTTGACCGCTTTTCTTTTGAAATATGAGTGTAGGCCACGCAGCCAAACACTCTGAGATGCTGGAGAGCTGGTTTACCGCCTGTAAACTCTTGAAATGGTGTTGATTGGTTGCTGAGTGCTGCAGTGGGGCTCCTGTTCCTGAGATAGACCGCTGTCATGATTGCCTCGCCCCAGAACTTGTAGCTGAGTCCACTGTGGTGCAGCATGCACCTTCCCATTTCCACCAGCGTTCTGTTCATCCTCTCAGCAACACCATTCTGCTCTGGTGTGTAGGGGGTGCTGAATTGCTGCTGAATTCCCTTCTGCTTGCAGAATTTCTTGAATTCTTCGCCCACATACTCTCCCCCATTGTCTGATCTGAGAGTTTTGATCTTCTGCCTCGTGAAGTTGGTTGCCCAGGCCTCAAACTCCTTGAATTTGCTGAGAACCTCACTCTTCTCCTTCAGAAGATAAACTGCCGTCATCCTTGACTTGTCATCAATGAATGTGACAAAGTACTTTGCCCCACCATGACTTGGTGTCTTCATGGGCCCACACACATCACTGTGAACCACCCCCAGCAGTAGAGCTGCTCTAGCTGCTTCTCCCTTTGGAAAGGGACGCCTGGTGATCTTTCCAATGGCACAGGCTTCACACGGTGATGTTTCTGCGTGATTCTTGACCTCCAGACCGCTTCCCAGCTGGTTCCTAGCCAAGATTTTGATGCTGTTGACGTTCAGGTGTCCTAACCTGCGATGCCAGAGGTCCAAACTCATTCCAGAGGCTATGTTTGCATGTTCTCTTGCATGAAACATGTATAGACCGCCACCTAGAGTTCCCTGGATTGCTTCCTGACCGTCTGAAGTCTTGATACAGCATCCCTTGCTGCCAAACTCAACTTTGGCACCATTTTCAGTGGCTCTTCTTACTGAAAACAAGTTCTTTTCAAGCTTGGGAACAAACCACACGTCTCTGAGGGTACAGAATCGGTTTCTGCCTGTCTCAAGTGTGATCTGGCCCTTCCCTATTG